AAAAAAAAAAAAAAAAAAAAAAAAAAAGAAACGGCGTCACGTTATTTCATGTAATCATTTACCGAGAACGAGGTAATTTCACGAGTTGTAATAACCGAGGTCTCCTCAGGCATTGGTATGCATTTTGATAAAATAATATCTTGTCTGTTCCTACTTATCATCAGTCCTGTCCTATCAATCGCCGCGCCGTTTCTCCGCCTTCTGAGTCTTGCAGTCGATGCCGATTGTTGCTTCGAACAACAATAAATATCGATGGGAAAAACGCGACGAATACGCTCGTAAAAATAATTACGAAGGCCAGCAATGAATCATGATAATAATAATAACAACAATGATGATTATCGGCACCAGTTATGTCGTTCTAGCAATCTATTTTCTGAAAAATAACGTCTTAATCTCTTGATTTATGGTATTTTCCCCGAGTTGTGACTAGTAAGTCATTATTTCTAATGTCCAATCTGACAAATATTTCATTAAATTACGGACAGAGCCACGTTCTTCTTGAAACAAGTTTCAATTATTTATTAAATGCTAGCGCGTACTATTCGAAATTTTATTCTTTCAGTTTGAAGTTAAAGTTGAATATAATCGTAAGACTAACTCGACTTTTCAACGAAGAAACTGAAAAAGGAGTTAAGGCTTCGTTCTTCCTCGAAACGTGACCTCCTGGTATCTAAACTGTAATTCGCGAATGAATATACGGTTTATTCAGTCGAATGTCAAGAATCAATCATTATTGTCGTTTAACGCGAAATAATCGCGGCCACGTTCCCGGCGCGGATAGAGGCAAATCTCCCGATAGCCTGGATTTTTAAATACACGTGTCTGATATATTCACGAGTGGAGAATTAGCATCGCGTCAAATACAGAGCCTCACATACGTGTTTCCATTTTAATCGCGTAATCTAATCTAACTCAAACGTAATATTATTTCGAGATAACGATGTCGGTCAACATCGCGGTTAAATCAGGCAAGAGTTCGTTACACGTTGCAACGTTTACCTCGCGACGAACCGTTTACCTCGTGCAAACCGTGAAAGGTGTTTTCAAATTTAAATGCAAGAGGGAAAGGGAAGAAAAAGAGACACGAAAAGAAAAATCTCTTCAAGGATATTTCACCGACAGATGGAATGTCATTATAGCTTGGGAATGTGCACGTGATGCATAATGAGCCTAAATCACCTGGTGATCGAGGGTGTATTTGAAAATTCAGTGTCTCTCTGAACTATTACCTTCGTGCACAGCACAGTGTGCATGTAGTCGTTACACGTGTATTATTGTCAGCATACGCCAATTATTTACACTGTCCTTGCAAATACACACTACGTATAAATACACACAGCGGTAGAATGGTAAACGATGTCAGCTGCGCGAGAGAGTTGTGCACCTTAAAGGCGTTTAACATTCAGTTGACGTAAATACTCCTTATCTTGGGACACGGTTTGTCCCAATTCCTTATCGAATATTCTTTTTTTTTTCTTCTACATATATCTCTCGCAGTTTAAACGATCCCGCGAGGTTTTTACAGATATCTCGAACTGTAGCGAACTCGAGTGGCTTGGGATTTTTCGAAGCTTCGAGTTCGAGTTCTTCTTCTCGTGAAAACTCTGACAAGAGATTTAGAGAATTATATCATTTTACATGGAGTTCCAACAGTGCCGATTCAGGGATTTCTCCAAGCTTCAACTTCAACTTTCTCTCCTGATAAAGGTATTTGGAGAAATGGGATATGTTTCATTGAATTTTTCCAAACTGCAGTCTCCACTTTTCCAACTGGCGAAATATTGGAAAGATATGACGTGTTTCACACCTACCGTGTTTTGCCGAATTTGACTATGGCAGCTGCGAATGTTTCCAAGTTTCAATTTCAATCCTTTTCTGGCGGAGTCCTCCTAAACATTCGGAGAATATTCGATACGTTTCATCGAATTTCTCCAAGCCACGATTTCAATTTTTGTCTAACAAGGTACTCGAGCGAAATCCAAAGGAACTATGATAGCTGGGAATTTTTCCAAACTTCGATTTCAGTATTTCTCTACCAAAGTACCGCAGGAACATTCGAAGGGAATTACAATAGGTGGATGGGTGGTTGCAGTGCGGTTCTGACGCAACGAAAGCGGTTTCCTTCAGCAGGACCGATTATCGATTTTCCGCCACTGACCTTGTTCTTATCCTGCCTGCGAAAGCGCGTGGAAATGGTAGTGGTAAATTTTCTCACACATCGAGATCGTGACGAGTATACACGAGGAATAGGAAACTTTGCTTTCATAATTAATCGGCATTTCCTGTCGGAAACACGTTCCGTTGCCATATGTTTTTATACGTGGCTAAAGATTATTGACACGGTATTCCATGGAATAATTTTTTGCCGCTTAGCATTCACGCATACGTCAATGCATGTAGGAGTAACGCGGCGACAGCACGTGCGTCGTGACAATTCAACGATTGAATAACGAATGAAACCAATGACGACACGTCTTCGGTCAACGCACCAACTGTTAAACTATTTCTTTTTTTTTTTTTTTTTTTTTTTTTTTAACGGTGATCCTCGATACACAATATCGTCGGTATCGATCGAGTATCGTATGCACCGGTCTCACAAAGGTGATACTCGAGACTGCACTTCGAATTTTAAAAAACAATGTACGTGACATCGTTATGTCATTCGATTATTGGTGTCGTAAGAACTTCCGTCTGCGTCTTGTTTTCCAAAGTCGATTGTACAAATGGACTTTTGCAATCTAACATGGAGCGTGCATCGGAGCTCTTTGATCCACGGATCAAAGGGTGTAATTCGTAATTAATTTTATTGACATAGGCTAGCTCGGCAAAAACAGATACGCAAATGGAAAGCAAGTCAGACGTGTTTATCACATGTGACGAAATCGGTCCGTGGCGTACGTGCTTTCGCTTATGGTAAAAAATCCATCGAGTTTCGTCAAATTGACTCGACTGAAGTGACCTTTGTCACTTTCCGAGCTTCGATTGTTACGTACAGGGGATTTCGCCGAATAACGTGCGATAAGGCAACGTTTACACTCTGCCATATATTTTCGTGAACTTAGATAATGTTTTTTGTAATATTGTAAACAACGAGTTAATTATAACTTTTCGCCGAAGTCTTTGTATTTATTTACGTGCTTGAACTTTAATCCGACTGTGAAGTTGTGACTTGCCCTGGACCGATAAATCCTATTTCGTAACGTGACTTTCGTTCTCGCCCTCTGTACGAAATTTTGGATAATGTAGCAATCGGATATCGCGTAGATCGCGATAGAATCAATGTTCGAACACTTCTTGGAACACTTCAAGACAAAATGTATTAAGATATTAGGTAGTTTGGAAAGTTCGTAAATTAATAGTTTGGAAAT